TACATTTTTTTTTTTATTTACATTCATTCACTGTACATCATTATAGCATACAAAATGAGATTTTTCCATTGAGAATACACTGTATATTGGCTCAATCAAGCACATCAACATATGTGTTATTGTCAACAAATCATTTTCCATTTCTTGTTTTCTGTATATTTTGCCTTTTTTCCCATCCTTGATTCCCTATCTCACCCTCTGCCATCTCCCACCCTCCTCCCACACTGTGTCTGGTATCTATTGTTGCTTTCTATGCCTCCCCCATTTTATTGTTTCACTAAATATCTTAATAAATCTAAATATTTTCAATAGCAAGCACAGCTGATATGTACATATCCATGAACACAAGACTGACTTTAGGCATAAACCTCAGTGAATAGAATGAACATACTATAACGTAGCACCTAACTAGGGCTATATAGCTTAACTGCAGTCATCAAATAGGTATTTCTAATGCCTTTTTTTTTTTTCTTCTGAAAATTTTTTTTTTTTATTAATTTACATTCATTCCCTGAGCATCATCACAACATTCTAAATGTGGTTTCCCATCTAGAATATACTATATAGTGGCTTAATAATGCATGTTATCATCCATAATATTCCATTTCTACTTTCATATATATGTTTTTTTACCCCATGTCTAGCCCTCTGCCCTATTCCACTCTCTTATTACACTATCTCTGCTGTCTACAGTTGTCTTCAATCCCTTTTCCCCCAACATTTCGTTGGTCACACAATATCATAAGTAATCTAACTACTTTCAATAGCAAGATCAGCCGATGGTTTCAAGAAAAGCAGTTTTGAACTGGTAAGGATATTTCTTTGAAACTTAAAGCCTAGAAACAGGTTAGTATTCTGTTCAAATAGTCGGAACATGAATCTATTGATAGCTGAAGACAGGACAAAAGTCCTTAAAACCAGACAACAAAGCTTAGAAGAAAAGCAGCAATATTTTAGTCAAGTCGTAGAATACTGTTTCATCAGTTCAGTCTCATGTACTTAATCTTTCTTCTGTATCTGTTGAGGTTCGATGTTCCAGATTGAAATCTGGGATGTAATACTCAACTCCAGCTTTTGGCCCTACAATTAAGTTGCCCATTTTCTTAGTTTCTGAACTCTTATTTCTGTGTGTCTGCATTTAATTTTACTGACATAGCACTCCCTTAAGAACTTCTTGGAGATCCGGTCTGGTGCTGGTAAATTCTTTCAGGTTTTGTTTATCTGGGAAAGTTCGTGTCTTTTCTTCCCAAATGAACGATAACCTTGCTGGGTACAGAATTCTCGGTTGAAATTGCTTTTCCCTTAATACTTTGAATACATTTTCCCATTCTCTCCTCGCTCTCATTGTTTCCGATGAGAGGTCTGCCGTTAGTCTGATGGGATACCCTTTGTAGGTAACTTGCCTTTTTTCTCTTGCCAGTCTTAGTATCTTGTCTTTGTCTGTGGTTTTGGTCAATCTGGCTATAATGTGTCTTGGAGAAGATCTTCTTG